TAGCAATGGTTGTCACTACCTGCTTCATATATTCAAGTGAAATAAAATGTAAGCTATACACAAATTTCTAATTGATCAATATTACCTGCAGCAGCTTTCTCGTCATCATTAAATGCTCTGTGAGATTATCAACATCTATTCTGACTCACTCCAACAAGGCAGAATCAATATTTATATACTGGTGAGCAACTCTATTCCTCAAGCTACCCTCTATTAATAGTATTCTACTTAATCAAATCATATACACATCTAAATTAAAGTATTTTTTCAGATAACACGCTATTAGATACTGGCTGCCCCTCTTTTTAAATACAATATTACCACACCTCTTAATGAAAACAGAAAGATAGCTGGAGTCTGAGAGGCAGAAACCCAGAAATAGTAAGAGGAAACAAATGAACAAATCAACTCAGTATACAGTATTTACCTAAAGCAAATGATGCCTTCCCATTTTCCTTCTCCAGGTCCATTCTAATCTTAACTCAAACCTATCATTGTGCTCTATCCCAAGCCAACATTATGTGCTTTCGTACCCAGCTGGATTAGTTTTGCCTTGGATTTTTTTTAAAAAGGGGGAAATTGATAAATTGTTTCATAATGTAATTATGTGTAACAGGTATTCATTCTAGGATGAATTCCTGTTTTAAACAGTTTAATTCTATACAATGACCACAGACTTGAATCTCTAACTCCAAACTCGGTTTAATTTGGCATTTGAAGTTAAATTAATGAAACTTAATGTAGAATAGAACCTTCAGAAAATGTCTAACCCCAACACTTCATTTTACAGATGAGGAAACATGAGGCCTGGCCTGGATAGCTTAACTGATTTGCTCAAGTTAAGAGAAATTAGACAAATGGGTCTAGAAAGCAGGTCTCCTAGTTTATTTCAATACCACCATGTATCTTCACTAAAAATAAAGACAGTTTTAGATAAATGATTAGTCCAGCAAACTATTCTGGGAACTCACCAGGATTTTGGACTAGAGAGATCAAAGTTAAAAATTAAAAGATCAGTTAATTCTCTGGCTTGAGACCTGGGAATTTACAGAAGTAGCCTCATCACACAACATGGCTTATTTAAAAATGTTTCTTTCAAAGCAATGAATAAAGTTCCATTGCCAATGAGTGGTGTTTTCAGTGAGAGTTAAAGATTAAGCTTAAATGAATTCTTTGTCTTTTACTAAGAACAAAATAAGAATGATAAAGTCATAACTATTCACAAAACTTGAGTCTAAAAACGTTTTTAGCTCAGTATTTATTTCTCTAGGGACAACAAAATTAACTACCTAAGCAAAAGAAAAGTCTTATTATACAAATTTGATGAATAAAATGATTGCTCAAAATATAATTCTATTTTATAAGTTCAATAAATTACAATTGGCCTATTTAGCTATTATTTCTGGCATTAAGCACTTTCAACATTACTTGGGTAGCAGAAAAAGTGAAATAAGGATGAAAAAATAAAAATAAGTATACAGCAATAAAATATTTAAGCTGAATATTAAGAGAAAATAATATTCTAGTGAGCAAAGTATCCCAATGGAAAGCCATGAAAATTCACATCTGGTAAAGGCAAAGCCAACACAGCAATAAAAAGTTCACTGCACAGCTCAGTATAACACAAATATGAGTGAAGAATAAGTAACCATAGAACTCTTTTCCATTCCTTCTTCCACCCCCATTTCTAAATAATGAGGAACTAAAGAGAAATATGAGAAGTGGCAAATTGAGACAGAAGCTACATCTTTTCCTCTATGGGAAGTAGAAATTCCCATAAATCACTAATACAGTCAACAAAATCTAATTTTATTAAAATCAAAGTACAAGATATTTTCTTAAAAAGCAGAAGAACCAACTAGTTTAACATAATTGTAAAACACAAAGCCTTCAAAATATCTTCAACACTCACCTCTTCTGGGGTGATTACACCTGTTTCCTTAAACTTAGATTCCTAAGGAAAGCAAAAAGAGTAATAGTATTATACTGCCTTTCACTTTCAATTTAAACATGTTTTAGGGCCAATTACTTGCCTAGTACCCTTCTAAGCTATGGAGCACATACAAAATATATATGTATATTTATTTATTTATATATATATATATATAAACCAAATCTAGAAATTACTTAACATTTTCCCATTGTTTTCATCTCCATTAAGACACTGATACAATATTCTCTCCTCTAAAGCAAGGATGTTATTGACTAAATTTTTCTAAATGTTAAGTTACATGTAAGATTTCATGGTAGGGTCTAAAAAAATAATTCATTCATGAACACTTTTCATTCAACACATATTTACTAACTACATGTGCCAGGCACAATTTCAGGCAATGGGGATACATGTGTGAGTAAAATAGACCAAATTTATTCTTGCCCTCATAAGGAGTTTCAACTTTAGTTGAGAGAAAAACAAAGCAAAACAAAACAAAAGCCAATGGTAATGAACACTATACTACAATAAAAAACGAAGCAGAGAGTAAACTGTGGGGTAGGTAGTAGGGGAGAAATGGTGATTTAAAATAGAATGGTATGAGAATAAACACATCATGGACTTGAAAAACAAGGAAAGGAACAAGCTATAAGGCTGTAGGACGGAGGAGCATTTCAAGCTGAGGGAAAAATACATGCAAAATCCTGGAAGGAGGTCAAGTTAGCTAAAGCAAGAGGGATCATGGTATAAAAGGAAGGGATGAGACTAGGGACTCTACCGATTAACTGGAGCCTTAAAGATGATTGTATGACTTTGGCTTTTACTGCATGTATGTCCTCCAAACAAAAAATGATTTTTTATTAATTTTTACTTGCTAAGAGAAGGCCACTATTCCTTTCCTGGGATTTTGTTTTCTCTACTTCACTTCCCTAATCTAGTAGAAAACTATAAGGATTTTCTCTGTAAAACAACAGTTTGCACAGGAATGACAAGTAAAGGGTCATTAATTCTGTCTGCTTTCCTTTTTACTAAAAATATACACCTTACACTGAGATGCCAACACTTCTTTTTCAGTTTGATGAAGAAGTAAAATGACTCCTCAAAACATAATTCTATGTCCTAAGTTCAATAAAATACAATTGGCCTATAAAATAGCCATTTTATATTTAATTTGGGGGGTCCCTAGCTCCTCTCACTGAAACTAAAAAGTTGTGACAATTTTAATTAAAATGCTGTATACCTAGGGAAATATGCCATTCTGAAAAGGTAACATAATATGCAAAAAAAGCATTTGGTTCAAAGGTCAAAATTATTTTCAAATTTTAATTGGTTGACTAAATAAATAATCTTAATTAAGATAACTTTCATAGGAAACAAATATAAGTAAAACGAGAGCTGGAGTTCTCATTTACAATAGTTCCTGACTTTTTTCTTACTTGGCCCAACAAGGTATCATTTTAAAAGGAGTCTTAGAAATCAGAATAAAAGGTGCAAACTTAAACATTTCCCTTTGTCATGGAAAGGGAGCAAAGTAAAACTGTCCACTATTTTTCTTAACATATCAGAGTATTTCATCCCCACACTGAGACTGGTAAAATTCTAATCGAAAGCTTAAAAAAAAAAACACTAAGCAAGAGCTTGCCATTCATTTACTACCATTATTCACTTTTCAGAAAGCAAAAATAAAGTTATAACATAAAACTTACTACAAGAGTTATTAAAAAGTGACAGTTTTAGAAAATTACCTTTGAAAATAAGAAAACAGTCACTGCTTAATAACTATGTGTCATAATTTTTACTTTAAAAATGCTGTATTGCTGCCAATATATAAAAAATTAATATCCAGGATGGTCAAACTGCTCCTTATTATCACTGTGCTAAGATTAACCACCAGCTGCAGCTATTTTAAAAGCTTGGAAAAGAAGTTTTGCTTGTTAGCTGAGTTCAAGTTTACTGAATGAGATAATGTTACAAATTTCACCTATTTCCTCTGAAATCTAAACGAGCTGGGACCTGAGACCTATTTCATACTTCTAAGAGAATTTCTATGAAACTTGAAAGAAAAGTGACATCACTTTAGTACCAAATATTGAATTCATTTTTTAAAATAAGCAAAATCCTTGTTTAAAAACTTAAAAGACTTTAGATGTTAGGATTTAATGTTCTTAAATCTACTTGGCTGCCGACCACCTTCCAACCCGACGTACCAAGAAGCGCAGAGTTATGACGGGTGAAGAGAAGAACACGCACAGCGCGTCGCCCCAAGAATACCCCTGAAAAGCCAGTAAGCCATACAGAACAGCAGGGTAAGACCACGGGCGGGGGCAGCACCTGTGCCCCACCCTTACCACCTTCCTACACCTTTCCCCGCCAGAAAAGACAGACTCCTCAGGCGCCTGGTCCTTGCAGAGTTGAGCATGTGTCTGACAGCCCCTGGCAAGCCCGGCCTGGCTTACCTTGAGGACCGGGGTCAGGTACTCAGCCACTTCCAGTGCCTTTCCCTTCACCGTGTTAATCACATTCTGCATCCTGGGGCCGGAGTAGCGACCGGCCCCGCCACGGGGTGGGATGGGCAGCCGGGACAGGGGCTGGGAAGTCAGAAAATGTCCCCGCTGCCGCCGACTCGCATCAGCACCCTGCCAGCGGCACCCGAGGGGACAGGACTGGACGCGACGGGACGGACGGGACGAGGGGGAGGGGCAGCGGGCACCGCGCGCGAGAGCAGGGCGTGCTCCTCCCGCCCCAGGCAGCGCGCGCGGGCCGGGCCCAGCTGTCACCTGGCCGCGAGGGAGGGCAGCGGGGCCGAGGGGAGAGCTGGGGGAAAAAGCGGGCGCACGCGCACCCCTTGCCCTCTCGGGCGCTGTCTTTCCTGCCTCTGCTTCACTCGAGCCCCTTCCGACTTCCCCTTCCTTCTCTCGCTCTCTTGCCGTAGCTCCGCCGCCACCTGGGCCTCACGTGACACAGGACTCTCCTGGCACGTGATGCGAGAAAGGCCGCGCCGGGGCGGGATCAGGCTGCTTCTCCCCTCCCTCCGGAAGCGTAACACAACACGCCTGCGCAATGGGGGCCGGGTCCGCTCTTTCCCTGTCAGGACGTTATCGTGCTTTTTGTTCTGCAAAAGGAGGCTTGGGGCTAGGGGGTTTTTCGCCTTTGTTTCCCACCCTAGCTTCTCTGCTTATGGACCCTAAAAGATACTGCTGCTACTACGGAACTATACAGTCCTTGTCTCAGCTCTAGGATGTACGTTCCGTCACTAGAAGCTCTTCTGAGGGACCGAGGTAACCGCGCCCCGCGGGCAGGGAATTGCGCGTGCGTACGAGGGGAGGGAGCGCCAGAAGAGATCGCTCCTGCGCATGTGTGACGAGAAGGGTTTCCCTGGCGGTGAAGGGAGACCTGGCCTCCTGTCGGGAAGATGTCTCATTGGTCTCCTGTACGTTTGCGCCCAATGGGCTGTCAGTATTGGCATTTCTCACGAGTTCCCCCAGAAACTCTGTGCCATCCCTACTGAGACACGGGGAGGCTTCGGGCAAGTTACTTCCCCAGCCTGGGTTGAGGTCCTTAGACTCATCTATTTCTTCCCCTGCCTCCCCAGTACTTGCAGTATGAGAAGAGGCTTGTCGATTTCTGAGATCTCTTCTGTTTCTAACACTAGGTCAGTAAAACTTAACAGCAGTGTTCCAGATATTTCCATTTTGGTCATTTTTTTTTTTTTTTTGAGACAGAGTCTCGCTTGGTTGCCCAGGCTAGAGAGAGTGCCATGGCGTCAAAGGTCATTATTATTATATAATGAAATCTTTCCCAGCAAGCTGTTTTTCCTCCTCAGAGGTAAGAGATGGTACTGAGGAGAAAAATGTATTTCCGAAATTCTCTTCTACAGTGAAATTGCTAATAAGAAGAATAAAAATTAAAGAATTACTTTTCTGCAGATTTATTTTCTGCAGTCTCAAAGAGTCAGTTGTCTACTTGCTACTTTTGATTAGCATTTCTAATCTGGCCCTGGCCTTTTCTGTCTGTAGAGTATGCCCTTCTATCTGATTTTGAGTTTTTCATTTCTTTTCCCCATAGTTTTCGCCTGTACTCCCTCAGCTTTCTTGGTCCTGGTACAGTCATACCCAAGCATCTAACAGTTGTTTTCTGCTCGTTATTATCAATGGTATTGGCATTATGTTTAATCTTCAGGTCTGACAACAGGGTTACTCATGAAGTGTTCTTCTCTTTAAGGCAATTAAAAAGCAGTGGAATGGAAAGAAAGTGTTGTAGTCTTTCTATGTTATGCTCCTTGTCAACAATGTACACATTCCTGCTAGGTGCCATATTCATTGCTTTAAGCTCGAGTCGCATCTTACTGGTAAAATACTCTGCCAATGAAGGTAAGTCAAGTCTTGGATTGGGTATGGAGTACTTCCATCTAATCGCACATTACCTCTCTCATCTTTGGTTTCTTGGTATATAAAAGGGGGTAATAATACTTCATCAAGTACTTTGCTTCATGTGAGTGATAAGGCATGTTTAAATTTGATTCTTTAACATTTCATTTCTCAACAAGAAAATTTTTTATGCTGGTTGAAATTTGGGTCAGTCAAGTACTGAATCAAAACCCTATGGGCAGAACAACATATGATAACATCTAACTAGTGCTTCAATCAGCAGGTGTTTCTCAGCCTATAGCAAAATGTATAATTGCAGTTTATTTTGAAATAGGAGGATGTGTTTGTTTGGTTGCTTGGCATTTGTGAGGTACTATTATAATTATTGTATCACTGGTACACTGTCAACATTATTGTATTCAATGGTATTTATCAACAGTATAGATTGTAAGCTTTGATAAGTATGTATTCAAGAAATCTATTTTCTTAATGTAAGGATTTGAGCAAACACTAATTCCACAAAATTTTACTGAGTATTTCTTACTAGTTATTGAGGACATAAAATCATGACTTTTATTGGTCTCCTTGGGCAGTCAGATGTGTATGTCAATCTCTGCTTCTGTTAACATTTATCTTCCAGGTACTGGGCTAAGTATTAGAAGCATGGCTCAAAGTACATGAGACAGACCTTGCCCTCAAGAACTCGCAGTTTAATAAAGAGAGATACACATGTAAACACATCATGAAAATACATTATAATAAATACAGTAATAGAAATATGCCAAAGGTGCAGAGATAGTCTAGAGGAGAAAATGATATGTTCTGTCTGGGAAAGAATGATGTAAAACTCAAATAGATCAGGGAACTGTTACCTGATTATGTGACAGTTGATCTACAAGAAGGGAAGGTAGGCAAGGGTATTCAAAACAAACAGAGGCACAAAAAAAGGAATACAAGACATGTAATTCAGAATTTCTGAGCAAAAAGTTTAAGAATTTGGAGGAGGGAGGATTGCTTGGCTGAAGAGGGCAGTTAGAGTCAGGTTATTAAGGACTTAATATGCCATGTTAAGGAGCTAGGATCTTATTCTGTAGGCCTTAGAGTCTAGGGCAGGTGTCCTCAAACTATGGCCCGCAGGCTACATGCACGTGTTTTTGCCCATTTGTTTTTTTACTTCAAAATAAGATATGTGCAGTGTGGATAGGAATTTGTTCATAGTTTTTTTTAAACTATAGTCTGGCCCTCCGACAGTCTGAGGGACAGTGAACTGGCCCCTGTTTAAAAGGTTTGAGGACCCCTGGTCTAGGGAATAAGGAATACTTGAAGGATTATGAACAGGAGGGTGAAATGAGAGATTATTACGGTAGCTGGATAGTAGAGCAAACAATGGGAAGCAAGATAGCCAGTTAAGGGGTTATTGGAAATTCAAGCCACAGATGATGAAGAATAACTTAGGATTTTTGAAGTAGGAATAGAGAGGATAGATTCAAGAAATATTTAGAACATAGAAAAGACAAGATTTGAGTTAGTTGACATAGCTCATGCCTGTAATCCCAGCAACTCAAGAGGCTGAGGTAGGAGGATCACTTGAGGCCAAGAGTTCCTGACCAGCCTGAGCAACATAGCAAGAGATCCTGTTTCTAAAAAAACATGAGAAAAATTAGCCAGGCCTGCTGGCACACACATGTAGTCCATGCAGGAGACTGAGACAGGAGGATCGCTTGAGACCAAGAGTTTGAGGCTACAGTGAGCTATGATCATGCCACTGCACTCCAGCCTGGGCAACAGACCAGGATCTCATCTCTCAGAAGAAAAAAAAAAGAAAGAAAAGACAGGATGTGAGGATTAAAGGAGGTAATGTATTGAATAACTCAAAGGTTTCTGGTTTGAGTGCTGAGTGGATTGATGGCATTCTCAGCTGAGATGGTAACTATCAGGAAGAAGAGTAGGTTGGGAAGAGTTCAGAAAGATAATAGTTTTAGCTGTGTACCTTCCATGAGGCAAGAAGCTATGTCCTCACTGCCATTTCCTCAGTATCTGACACATCATTCACGTGAAGGAAATGACAATTAAATGAATAAATAGGAGGTGGTTAATCATATGGATATGTTTAATGGACAGTAAGTTAAAATGTTCCAGAGTATAGATTTGGGGACATTAATGTTAAATTGATATTTAGAAGCAGAAGGCTTATGCATAATGAGAGAATAAGAGACAGGGCCAAAGTCTGAGGAATGCCAACATTTAAGTGGCATGCCCACACTCAGAAGAACATTAAGAAGAAATCGTTAGAGAGATGAGAGAACTAAATGCACATGACTCCTAGAAATGAAGGAAACAGTTTGAAGACAGAATTGTAACATCATGATAAATATTAAAACATACCCTTTGGAACTGGCAATTAGAAGATGTTTGGTAATCTCAGAGAGTAGGAAGTTTCAGAAACCAGATTATTTAGGGATAAGACCTGAATGGAAAGCGAGTAAAGTGGAGACAATGAATGTTGATACTGTTTTAGGGAGAGGAAGAGAAGGTATGGTAGCTATAGGGAGTAGTATATTATATTTAGTTTTTTGGATGGGGGAGTTTTGAGCATGTTTGTATGCCAGGGACAAGAAGCCAGTAAGTACAAAGGAAGACAAAGGATATACACTGAAGCCAAAGGAAATACTTATTGGAGCTGAGTCCTGAGGAAGAAAGGAAGGTTTTAAAGGGGAGGGTGGGTAAATATTAGGGCCATGGCTGTTTCCTCTGGGAATGGAGGGAAACCAGTGAGGATGGATGGATGCAGTGTAGATAAGGTATGTTAGTGTGGGCAGGAGAGGAGTGGAGGGAGGTTACACAGCATGCTTTCACATGGTTTGGCATCCACCATGAGAGGAATATGAGAAAGAACCAATGAAAAACAAGAACAAGCTAAAGAACAATGACAAGAGTATGACGGTTGTAATCTGAAGCCCCTCGTTCTTGTGTGCACATGTTGGCTCAGGTGTGTATCATGATAGAGATCATGAGAAGTATCACTGGAGGATAAAAATATGATTTAAGTCTAGCTTTGAGCTCAGAAAAGGGAGGAGATGTTTTAACTAGGCTTTAAATAATGGAAAAGTAAATAGGCAAATATTTAAATTCAGGTGAACATTTATTGAGTGCCAGCTAAGTGCCAGGTGTATGAAGGTGACTAACATGGTTCCTTTCTTATAAGGAGCTTATATTCTAAGGATAAGACATATCCATAAAAAATAATTATAATACAGTGTGACAAGTGTTGCTATAGAAGTTTGTAAGGTAGTGCTACAGGAACAGAGATGAATAAAGAATTGATTCTAACCGGGCATGGTGGCTCATACCTGTAATCCTAGCACTCTGGGAGGCTGAGGCAAGAGGATTGCATGAGGTTAGAAGTTCAAGACCAGCCTGAACAAGAGTGAGACCTTGTCTCTATAGAGACCTTGTCTCTATAAAAAAATAGAAAAATTAGCCAGGTGGGGCAGCATATGCCTGTAATCCCAGCTACTTTCAAGGCTGAGGCAGGAGGATTGCTGGACCCCAGGAATTCAAGGTCCAGTAGTGTTCGAGTTTGCAGCAGTGAGCTATGATGGCACCACTGCACTCTAGCTGCAACAGAGTGAGACCCTGTCTCAAAAAAAAAAAAAAAAAAGAATTGATTCCGTTTAGGTTTAGAAGGTCAAGAGAAACCACGGAAGAAAGGGTGGTGTTCTGGATAAAAAGTAGAGTTGGCTTTTTTCCCCTATACTTGGCCAGTTTGGGTTTTAATATGACAAAGAGAAATAAGCAAATGTTTTGAAAAGGGAGGAAATAACATTCCTGAAAATAGTACCTAATAAACTTTATGTTTGTCTTTGACAAAATTAGAAAGCAAGTTGTTTCTAAGCATTTAGAAAAGACAGAAGTAACAGATAAGACTAAGGTGTACCAACCAAAACTCATTTTCTGATTCTACTGACTTGTAAGTAGGATGTAGTTTCCCAAATCATCAGTGCGTCTGGATGTGTCAGAGTGTTTTCTCTCAGCCTCAGAGATAGCAGAGCCCTAGGCCAGTTGCTTCTTGCCTCAGGAGGTTTCCTACTTTTACCTTAATGTACCATTTATCCCAGAGCACCAAACAAATATTAATATTAATGTTAATATTAATGTGTACCATGATATGAAACAGATTAGAACACTCTGAGTTAAGGGAACATCATAGAGTGTACCTTGATTTTAGCAATGCAAACAAGTCACAAGAAGAATCATGAGCTGGGGAATAATTCAGCAGGTAAATTCATAACTATTTGATGAGTCAAACTTTTGATTAATGGTCAATTATAAGGCAGTCTCTAGTGTCATGCCCCAGAGCTTTCTTTGCCCTTGGCACTAGTCTCCTTAACATATTTATGAATTTTAGCAACTTAGAACAGGCATATTTGTCAAATTCAAGGGTAACCAAAAGCTGACTGGGATAGGGAGAGTTAGGGTGAATTGATTAAAAAATCCAGAAGACCAAAGCCAACTAGAAGAAATTTAATATAACCAGTATTAAATCTGGCTGTTAAGCTTAAAAATAATTATAAATTATCTGTATATAAACATATAGAGAACAAAATTTACAACTAAAAAACATTTCTGTTACATTTCAGAGAACAAGTATGATTATCTTCCAACTACTGTGAATGTGTGCTCAGAACTAGTGAAGCTCGTTTTCTGTGTGCTCGTGTCATTCTGTGTTATAAAGAAAGGTGAGTCTTGAAATAGTACTATATACTTGTTAAAAATCACAGAATTAAAAAATGTTAGAACTGGAAGGAACATTTTATATCATTTAGTCTGATCCATTCATTTTATTTATGAGAAGCTAAGATACAAGCATATGATTTATAGGTTGAGAAGCAGACTCAAAGAGAAAGTGTTATACAGAGCTAGGTAGGAAGGGGCAGAGCTGGGACACCAACCCATGTTTTCCAATGTCCAACCCATTACTCTACCTCATGCCTTGTTCCTGTGATGGTTTCATGCAACAAGTTAGTTTTTATTCCAATTCAGCATTTTCTAAATTACTGTGCTGTTGATTTGATATAGATCATATTTCAAAAACAGTTCCCATTTCCTACAGGGAAGGCAGCATGGTCAAAGAGATAAGACTATGTTTTGGGGCACATTATTTTAACTTCTATGAGCTCCAGTTTCCTCAACAATCAAATAGGGATAGTAATGAATTCTTCTACTGTAAAGTATCTAGCCTTTCGTGGAATGTATAGGTTCTTAATATATATTAATTCTCCTACCTTAGTTCTCCAATTATTGAGCCTTAGCTCTCTGTACCTCTTCCATCTGCCTTTTCATATGAGGTAAACATAGAATTTAGAGCATTAAAGTGCTTGCCTAGCACGATGTATTTTAATACTCAACGATTTCAATCTGTGCATTTTCTTGTTAGTGGAATAAATTTCTTAATCTCATAAAATTCATGCATTATTTACAGAGCTTAAATTTAAAACTGCCTTTGTTTTCTTTTTATTTTATATTCTCTCTGCTATAGTCCCTTCCTAAGTTTTTGGAAACCTGGTCATGAGATAATAATTCTCACCGGAATTAAGAAAAATTAGTGTTTTCTAGTTGCATAGAAGGGTAGTATATATATACTACCACTTAGTATCTCCTTTCCTGATCTGCCCTGGGAAGGAAAACCCCACTATGAAGGCTTGATATTTTTTTCTACATATTCTAAATTCTTGATCTCCCTGTTGATATTATGCTCTTAGAGCAGTAAGAGAAACTACATATGTATCCTGAGTTGCCTTACGTGATACTTCTATCTCAAGTTAACAATAATGAGGATATTCAATATTCCTAAGGGTGCTGCTGATTGTCAGTGATAAAATACAGCCATGGGTTAAAGAGAGACACTAATGAAATTCCACATTATCTTTGATTCCTTTAGGTTAATCACTTATGGAGGCACATTTACAAAGCCCCTTTTAAAGAATTGTATCAGTCTTATCAAATATAAGGCAATTTCTCTAAAAATATGGGCATTCTTGCCAAGATCGTTTATTTACTACTGTCTTTCTTTCTTTTTAAGATGATCAAAGTAGAAATTTGAAATGTGCTTCCTGGGAGGAATTTTGTAATTTCATGAAGTGGTCCATTCCTGCCTTTCTTTATTTCCTGGATAACTTGATTGTCTTCTATGTCCTATCATATCTTCAGCCTGTAAGTATATATGACAAACAAAATACCATTGAAAAAATACAGAGAAATGAATCCCAGAACTAATCTGTTTTTTTATTTTTATCACTTTCTTTGGCATTGTTAGTTTCTCATTACCCTCACTGGCCTTCTTGAGATTTTTCCAGAATCATCTGAACACTGAATTATTGATCTGGTTGCCAGATTCTCTCACTGGTAAAGATTACTGTATTAAACTGCACCAACTATGGAGGAATTGGTTCCTGGTCCAAGGAATCTGAAGCCACCCCTCTTTGTGTAACCTTAATCAGTCTGCCTGTTTTCTGAGCCATCGTATGGCCACCAATCTTTAATACTAATCTCAGTCTCAGAACTTCCAAGCAGGCATCCATGATTATACACTCAGTGCACCTTTATGTTTTACAGCTGTTTTAATATGTATTCTGTTTGTATGGGGTTTTGTTGTTGTTAGTCTCTTCATTTAACCAACAAATTCTTTGAGGGATTATGTCCTCCCAACTATAAATGCTATCTATACCTGATAATCCTAGGACTACTTCTTACCTCTGTCAGCATCCTTTGTTTCAATTTGGAAAGCCATTAGTAATCAGATTTGGAGTTTTGTCTTCTGTTTTTACCTATTACTCATTTTGGGTCACATGTATATTTCCCCCTAATATTTTATAAAATGAAAATTTCTATTGCCTGTGTTGCCAAAATGTGTTTTAAATTTCTTTAAAAAATAAATTCAGGCATGTGATTATAAATAGAATTTTTACTAGCACCAGTCCTGTATGTGAAGCCTCTTAAATACAATCAAATCAGATTGAGTGGGATGAAAAGAATGACATAATTTAGAACTATAGTAGAAAACAGGTGTTTGACTCTTTTCCACAATTAAGATGCCATGTAACTAGGCAAGCTCCAACTGCTCTAAGTTTCCGTTGTCTCATCTGTAAAATATGATAGTAATAAGATACCAGCCCAAAGGCAGAGATGTAGGCAAGTTGATCACCTGAAGTTCCTTTCAGCTCTGTGATCTGTGATGTTAGTAAGTGCCTAGTCCATTTAGAATGTGTCCTGTCTTACATTCTCATTTCCACTTTGTTTTTTAGATCTGAGAATTCCTATACCCACTGACATTATTATTCACATTCAGTAAATAAATATGTTGTACTTTATTTGTATTCAATAGATTAGCTCTAAATATGTATCCTTTTCCTTTGTCTCCAGTACTAAAGCAAGATTACAACTTCCTTATTCTTCCAGCTTATTGCTTTACTCTTCCTTCCTGATTGTGTACAACCTCAGATCTTTCAAAATAAATCACATGGCATACTCTGTGTATTGCTGTGCCTGAGTCTCTTTAGGGAATTAAATAGAGATACGTGAAAGGTTTGGGGCAAAGAGCTCTGATGTTTTATTTATTCTGTACTGTCACATGGAGACAGTTTTCAGAATTCATCAAACCAGCCTGCTTGGTTAGGTGCTTTGCACTGCCATTAATGTGATTGATCGGGGCCACCGCTTCCCTATTCTTACCAGGCACTTGCCTCATCTTTTACTGTTCTAACTAGGGGTTCACAAGCATTTGTTTATAGGCAGGTATACTGAGAAAACTTTAAAACAGTGATTCCCATAAAAGTTCAATGGAAAAAAAAAATTTATATTTTTGGAATTGTTGCTAGTTTTTATTGGACTTACCTTATTTTTTTTTAATTTAGCTGTATATTAGCCATGTTTGCTGTTATTGGGTATATGTGACTGTAATCAAGTGGGGTTTAATCAAGTTAAAGTGATAACAACCAGGAAGGCAGTGTGAACTAAATTGTAAGATTTGTGTCAAAAATGATTAATATTGTCAGATCCAATTATGAGGAATAATGATGAAATTTCATACTTTCTGAGCAAAATGTTCAGATTAACAGTCTCATATGAAATATGACTGAATTCATAAAAATGAACTGTTATAAAATCTGGCATCTGGCTAACGCATTTCTAAGTATTTAGAACAACTCGAGTCAATCCAAAGGATTGTCAAATGTGAGTTTGATATTGACTCACTGGAGTTCAACCATGAAAATTGTTACAATTCCTAGAATAGTAAAGATGCTTAAAAATCTGTATATTAATTTTCTTGCCATACAAATGGGCTTAATAGTACCTATCTTCTATGCACCCATAAAAACAGTATTAGAAGTTTATAAAGCACTTGAGAGCTTTGACAAATGTGCTTCACAAACATGATAACTATCATTTCTAGACCTAAACCTTTAGAATTTATAAGTAGTTCCAGATCTGCATGTAAAGGTTATTTACATAGGCATTTGCTGAATTTAAACACATTTTCAAAGCCTGGACAATAATTTGATCATATCTGCATAAATTTAACAAGCAGTAAAAATGGAATTTAATCCTCTAGTGAAATAGCTGCCCTACAAACCCCTCTGGGTTTTGACCAGAATGCTTTTTTGTCAGGTAAACCTCAAGCTGGGAGATTTCTGAGGTCAGTACTTTGTTTTGATTGTAACTCTATCTTCTCTTTCTTTCTAGGCCATGGCTGTTATCTTCTCAAATTTTAGCATTATAACAACAGCTCTTCTATTCAGGATAGTGCTGAAGTAAGTAACTTGCTGTGAAAGCATATATCATACTTTAAAATGGCACAGCCTGGTTTTAGATGATATACCCAAAGCACTAACCCCTCAGAATTCCAAGAACCAGGATATTGTTCCTAAATGGCTTTGTATATTGGGCATGTTGTTTAACCCATCTGGAAAGCAGCTCAAGTGCTAGCCTGTCTAAATCCTCTGTGATCAGATGTATGAAATGTCTTGAGCATCTCAAAAATAAGATAATTGACTGGGTTATAATTAGTATTTTCAATTTTAGTGCCAGATTTTCAAAAAAGGACTCATGAGTTTTTTATATAAAATCTTTCTATACTAATAGAGAACCAAGAGGTTCCTAAGATTGTTAATACATTTGTAATTTGGAGTTTGAAAGTGATAAAGTGGCAAAGTCTTTATTAAACTACTTGAGTGTATGATTTAAGCTCTAACTGACAGGATTTGCATGATGAATCTAGTCAAAATTACAGTTAATAAGAATAATATGTTTTTAAACTTTAAAAAATGCCATCTATCAATTTTTACTATCTCCAGGAGGACCATTGAATAGTATAAACATTTTTAAATAACTAGACTCTGCTGCAAAGCAAAGACCAGAATGTCCTAAGGCAGGAGGATGATACAGGATCTGGGTACTTAACTCCAATTTAATTTGTTACTTAATGATGATGATAAAAAATAAAATTTATTTATTGTTATATTTGTTGTGGTTGTTTTTTTTTTTTAATTTTACATTCTCTTTGATTTTTTGATTCTCAATGTGCTATGTGATAGTCTATTCTTTAATAATTTATGTGGCAAAAAGATGACTGGCTAGTACACAGGCACTCTAAATAATTTGTTGAAACCATGATTTACTTAATATATACATTATTTATATGAAATTCCTGAAACATTCCTTTTACCCTAAAGAAACATTGAATTTATTATTTAATGTGAGAGATGGAAAAAAATGAACATTACATTTAGTCCAATTTAAATGTTAGACTACACTGAAGTTTGCTTTGTGCATCATGTTCATTTTATTTGTGAATTGTGGAAATAATTCTTTTAACTAGCAAGTTAAAGAATGCTATTCCAAAAGCATTTGTAAGTCTTTGGAATCAGCATGAAACTCACTATGTAGCATTAAAAAGTTGGTTTTTAAGAAAATGTATGTAAACAATAATATTTTTATATTGATTCCTGGGATAAAATTGGAGATGCACTTCCATGAAGAAAAAAAGAAATTGGTTCCAACACATAATAAAAGATTCACTATTTAATAAGGTAGTTAAAGTCTTAAAAATATTGTTTTTAAAGTAAAAAATGTTTTTCCTGTGAAATGACAGTACATGAGTACACAGTATTATACCTATTATATAGTATACAATATTATGCCAAAATTATATCAGTTTAAAACTGAATTTATTAATATCAAAGAGAAGGTAAAAAAGTATGTATTGCCTGACTTGAAATTGGCTACTAGCTCTAGTTTTATCCTAAAGTAAATATCCTCTGCTAAATTTTTAAGCATTTGTATTAATTCATAGTATAACCAAATCAAATTTATTTATACTGTAAATTTTAAATGCTTGTTTTTAATACCACTAATTATAATTATATTTTGCTAATTTTAATAATAAACATTGGTAGGAACTAAAGCTTGAAAATTTTTATTCATACTTTACCTCTTTTTAGAACAGTAAAATTGATTCTTAGACATGTATTTGCTTTATTAACATGTGTCTGTTTTGAATCCTTGCAAGTATTTACTTTAAAAAACAATAAAACCATAACCCTTCCATTTTTATTATTTCCACAAGTGCTGCCTGAGTGGGTTTTAATTTAACTGATTCAGAAATCAGCACTGACACTTCTCTAAATAATGTGCTAATAATCTAATGCTGTCTTTTATGAGAATGCCTTTTAAGTATTATATTTTATTACATTTTTAACTCCTTTTTTCCAATCATGGTAGAAAACACATAATGTAACATTTACCATCTTAACCATTTTTAAGTATACAGTTTAGTAGTGTTATATTCATGTTGTTGTTGAACTTTTTCATCATGTAAATTTGAAACTCTAAGCCTATTAAATAACTCCTTTCCCTTCTCTCCTCAACCCCTTATAACCATCATACTGTAATGATTTCCATTTGTATGAATTTGACTACTTTAGATACCTCATATGAGTGGAATCATACAATTTGTCTTTTTGTGACTAGCTTATTTCACTTAGCATATTGTCCTCAAGGGTAATCTGTGTCATAAAATGTGACAAGATTTCCTTCCTTTTTAAAGCTGAGTAATATTTCATTAATATATATATATATATATTATTACATTTTAAAACCAATCTTGTACTAGTTTGTCTTTTTATTGTTGGTGTTGTATGCTGTTTGTTTGTTTGTCCCTATTTAATTTCCTCTTCGTGAACTATTTGAATATCTTTTTGCCCTTGGTGATGAAATTTTGGCCTAGAAGTAGCAGCATAAGAGTTCTATGTTCTTTGTTATAAATAACTAATTTTTCATTTAGAATATTAAAGCTGTTGTCTTAAACTTGATTCTAGTAGAGCCATTAAATACCTTTCTGATACAGGTAAAGAATACAAGGCTACAAAAGTAGGGAAAATAAGTCCAGTGACTAATGTAAGGATTACTTGGAAAAATCCAAAAGTGGGAAAAAGAAAAATATTACTGTCTAAATATCCTATTGTCTTTTCTAAAGAAATCCTCTGTCAATATATTTAATAGATTTGTCGTTTGAAGTTTAGCCATTGGTTCAGAGTGGAAACTGATGGAAGGAATTATGCCTCATAGCCTGCCTCACTGGTTTACTCCTAAGCCTTAGTAGTCTTGCTTGTTTGGGCTTTGGGAAATAATGTTAACCTGAACATTGAAGTTTTGGGGCAAAAGGTAACGAAGACCAACACTTATTTATACCTAAAGAATTTGTATAAATTTCTCTGGTCTTTTCAAAGAGAAGCTGTGGAAAAAAATCATTAAACACATTTTGAAACATACATGATAGATGTCCTGGAAGTTATGGTAAAGTTTAGTTACTGTCAAAACCAGCAGAAGAATAAAGAAAAGTACCACTCAGTAATATAAGCATGTCTCCAAAATCAATCATTCACTTGATAAATCTTTATGATCTCTCATTATAAATCTGCTTCTGGTCACTCTCTGCTACTAAGAAATGTGTTTTTTATAGTTTCTTGAGAAAACAATGTATTTCCACTTAATTATTTTCATGTTCTGCCATGGTTTACTACTGCAAATATGGTAGAACTATGATAGAAGTGCTCTTACCTAACTATTTGAACCTAATTGTTACTAGGAAAACTTGCAGTGGGAAATCATAATATATATGTATATATAATATCTAAACAGTTTACTTTAAGTTAAAATATATAATTTTATACATTCATCATTCTTTTGATGCTGAAATAAGACCTTTACTTTGGGTACGTATGGGACTTACTGATTGGAGTTCTTTGGCTTCTTTCCTATGTGACACTACAGTCACTGTACAGTCACTGTAGGGTAAAGGATTTCTTGTTTCGTTTACCCTAAAATGCATCAAGTTGTGAAAAAATTTTTAGGCTAGACCTCTTCTAGATTTCAGTTATTCATTCCTAATCTTTTACAATTAGCTCACCTACATGTAATTTAAAGGCAGCTTTTTATCTTCTGAGTGATTTGCCTTCAACTGTCTTCCCAGTATTCAACTTAGTTTTCATAAAAACAGCAATCCTTTTCTTTTACTCACAATTTATCATTTATGTAATTGTTTTATATATACAAAGACAACAGTGAGGTCACCTGGCAAAAATACACTTAGGAGCAGAGACTGTAAGCAAACAATTCACTTGGGAGCAGAAGCCCTCAGGAAGAGCAGTGGCCTGCTAGCCACAAGCATTCAGCTCTGAGCATCCATCACTGTGTTTCACTGGGTCAGTGGAGCAATCAGTGAAGTGAGCTTCTATTGTGTTGCATCAATTAAACTGAAGAATAGACTCTGCCTTGCAGAATCAGTCATCATTTGTAAAAGTACACATCATCAGCTGATGTTACAGAGTAATTTAAGCTTTATTTTCTTTGCTAAAAATCTACCATTTTTAATTTTTAGAGTAATCCTTAATAAATTTTGCCTTCCCAAGAACGTTACCTTGAAAGAGTAATTGTTTGCAGTAGGTGCTTTTTGGCTTGTTTAAAGGTTTATTTTCTTTGATTCTTTTTTCTCAATGTGAGTGGAAAATTTATAGCTGTTCAGAATTGGAAACTTCTAAAGGAACTGTAGATCATGTCATTGCTTCATTTGTGTGTGATTTACAATAATTGATTATATAATGATTTTAGTAAAATGGACACCCATTTTTCATCTCTATCTTTCATTTCTGTTCTATTTGCTTTCTACTACATAATGTGTACCAGCTGCACTTTCAAAAATTTAAGTGACTAGTTCACAGTTTCTTACCTCATGGCATAGGGCTATGCTAACCTCATCACTAAGTTCTAGATCTTAGTTGAAAGTTATTTGAAAATTGTGCTATACATGAGAAAATATGTGGTAGTGTGCACAAGTATGCTGCTATCTAGGTTGTCTGCATCCAGCAGTCTCAGAATATGAAGCTCTGTAGTAGCATTGGTGAAATCAGACACATCTTTCTATATATGCATCATGGGAGCTCAGAATACACTTAAGAGGTATGTTGATCCAGAAGGAAGACACACAAAACCATGTATCAGATCCCTTCCTTACTCTTTCATAAATATATGACCTTAGGGAAATCAGCCTTTCAGAACTCTTTCTTCCCTTAAAATAGAAAGGTCTGACCCACAGTAGGTGCTCAGTAAATGCTCCAGTGCTACCAAGAGTCTTACAACTTCTGGTTCTCATTGTTGCTTTATACTTTTGCTTTTCCATATGTTATTCTCTTTTCTTGGGTGTCCTTCTTCTTCACCTGAATGATGAACATCAAAATTTTGTCCCCTCTACTGACTACTCCAACCTAAGTCAGATATTCCTCTATGTCAGCATTGGGTATTCTTGTGGCCTTTGCATAGACTTTTCCCTCTGCCTGGATATGTCACTGATTAATTTTTCATGTGGCAAACTTCAATTTATTTTTTATCTGTTAGTGCAAATGTCATTTTCTCTTTGAAGCAATACCTAACTCATTCATTATACAAATCCAAGTATTTCTTCCTCAGTATATACCAGTTGTTCCATAAGTCACTTGTCACACAATATATTCACATCATTTAGTTTTAATAGCTGTCTCACTATTAGAGTGTAAATTCCTTAAGCATGGAGATCAAGTCTTCTTTTTCTCCCCAGGTTGCCTGGCACATAGTAGCTGCTTACTAAATATCTGTTAAACTGAATGAATCAGCAAAATGGAATAATAATAATACATGTCTTTTATATCTCATAAGTTTGTTGTTCAGCAAAATAAATAAAACTTTGTAAGCTGAAATACTACATAAAATAGCATCTTTTCCTTGCCTTATTAGCCAGTAGTTTGCTGTAAAAAGCCTTATTTTTAGGCCATGGATCCAGGAGCTAGCCTTCTCCTTAAATCTTCTTTGGGTTATGAACACCTTAGAAGATTTGACAAAGCTTTGAATGATCTCTTGCATAGGGTGAGATTCACCTATATAGAAGATTTCTGAAGCTCATCTACATACTTTCTGGTTTTGGAAAACTAGGCTGAGAATCTTTAATATAATTTACAGTAAAAGAAAAGTTACTGTGCCAAAGGTCTGAGATCAGCTCTAGAGGTAGAAAGGAGGTTTAATTAAACCTATAGGTTGAAAAGAAACCTACAAAGAGGAGAAATGACTGAATGGCCTTAAGGGACAGGAATTAAAAAGTGTATAAAAAACATTAAGTTTGAGAAGCAGAGGCACCAACAGGTTTCCTTTGAACATGAATTGTAGGAAATACTAGCAAAAACTGGGTACATTTATCCAACTAAGTACTCAAGTGTCTGTCTAGAATTTTCTGTAGAAATGCTTGATATGGGGGTGGGGGGAACAGTAGTAAAATCTTGTTTTTCATCTTTGAACAGGCGGCATCTAAACTGGATACAATGGGCTAGCCTCCTGATTCTATTTTTGTCTATTGTGTCCTTGACTGCTGGGACTAAAACTTCACAACATAACCTGGTAGGACATGGATTTCATCATGATGCCTTCTTCAGCCCATCCAATTCCTGCCTTCTTTTCAGAAATGAGTGTCCCAGAAAAGACAATTGTACGGCAAAGGAGTGGACTTTTCCTGAAGCTAAGTGGAACACCACAGCCAGGGTTTTCAGTCATATTCGCCTTGGCTTGGGCCATGTTCTTATTATAGTCCAGTGTTTTATTTCTTCAATGGCCAATATCTATAATGAAAAGATATTGAAAGAAGGGAACCAGCTCACTGAAAGCATCTTCATACAGAACAGCAAACTCTATTTCTTTGGCATTCTTTTTAATGGGCTGACCCTGGGCCTTCAGAGGAGTAACCGTGATCAGATTAAGAACTGTGGATTTTTTTATGGCCACAATGCATTTTCAGTAGCCCTTATTTTTATAACTGCATTCCAGGGCCTTTCAGTAGCTTTCATTCTGAAGTTCCTGGATAACATGTTCCATGTCTTGATGGCCCAGATCACCACTGTTATCATCACAACAGTGTCTGTCCTGGTCTTTGACTTCAGGCCCTCCCTGGAATTTTTCTTGGAAGCTCCATCAGTCCTCCTCTCTATATTTATTTATAATGCCAGCAAGCCTCAACGTCTGGAATATGCACCTAGGCAAGAAAGGATGAGAGATCTAAGTGGCATTCTTTGGGAGCGTTCCAGTGGGGTAAGTTTGTGAGGATACTGTTTTTTACTTGTTCCTCCCAAATTCAAAGCATAGTTATTAAAGGAAAAAAATATCAGTACTGATTTATCAAATAATATATTGGATTTCTGTGACTTTTAAAAACCAATCAACAAATATTCATCAGACTCCTAATGTTTGCAAGGGCTCCTGGTAAATGCTGTCAGGGATAGAGAAAAAGCATAAATCCCAGCATCAAGAACCTTATGCCTTAATTGTGTCATAGAATATTACAGAATTACCTAAAAGATGCCTCATAGGTTATCTTGTCCAGTCTCCCTAGTTTTACAAGCAAAGAAACAGACTAAATGGTTTGTAGGTAATAAGTACAAACCCATGAGGTCTGACTCCTAGCCCCTTGCTCTTTCTGCTCTACCATAGTTGGGAAAATAAGCTCATTCATGAAAGAAGATCTTTTACATTAGTAAGTCTTGTTAAATAGAAAGCCTATCTCCTCAGTCTTACCTGTAGTTATTCTTAAACCACAGTGTGCCAGAAGTGCAGGGTTTATTTCACTAAAAAGATAGTTTTCAAAAGGATCTCTGTAAGTAGGAGTAAAATATTTTCTAGAAGAGTGCTTATGCAGTTATTCTGAATATCTTCCAGTTGCTTATAGTTGTTTTGGAAGAGTCTATCAGTCATGTTATTAACAAATTAATTAATTAATGATCTTTTAGAAATTAAATTAAGGAGTTAAATATATGTTTAAATAAATGAAATAGACATCTAACTTTAGATTTACAATTTTTTCATGAACACACAAAATGTGAAGTATTTCACTATTTCACAATGGACATTTCACTGTTTGGGAAAGTTAATCTATTGTTTATTAAGAGTTCATGGCAGAGCTTCCCTAGGTGTAATACTTCTGGAGCAGTGATACAACAGTACTTAACATAAAAAAATTAGAAACTTGAGTCCCAAATGCCCTGATCTCCACAAGCATATACATTCAGAAAGTCTGTATTTTTTTCCAGTGGGCTGATAATGCTGTTTGTCCTAATTTTTAAGTAAATGAAAATCAATTTAGGTAACAAGGCCTAGATTGTAACTGTTTCTCCAACCTTTAATTGATTCCCCTCAAGACCAGCAGATGGTGCTCCTTACTATGCTCATGTTACTAACTTTAAAGTTCAAGTATTAAGTGCATTTCACTTTTTCATCTCAATATACTTCTAAAATTAACTTACAAGGACTTAAGTATTTATTTAATTTAATTTGACCAGATTATATCGACAGTGTAATGAAAGAAGACCTATGATTTGTTAGTAAGGTTTCCCCTTATAATCATTAAAAATGCTACATTTTTAGTTATGTTTTAATTACTGATTTCATGTGTTTCCTTTTAGGATGGAGAAGAACTGGAAAGACTTACCAAACCCAAGAGTGACGAGTCAGATGAAGATACTTTCTAGTTGGTACCCACATAGTTGGCAGCTCTCACAAACCTCATTTTCACATTTTCAGCATTTGTAATATTTATCTTTTCACTTTGATAAGTCAGGAATGTTTCTAAAACATAATACTCTGCATGTATCTAATCATTCCCTAAACAACTCCATCCAAGGCTTAGGGTATACCCAAAGAACTAAACAATTCTAAGAACTGATACAGGAAGATTAGTATAAAGACTACATTAATGGCTCAGGACTTGATAAATCAACAAGATAAATTTGTAGATTATTTTCTTTGCCCTCCAGATTTTCCAAAAACTTGTAATAATCATATTAGCTACACCTTATAAATATACAAATAGAGTTTACCAGATATTTGTAATTATGTAATTATAGTCTGCATGCCAAAGTCTTCCCTTTTTTTTTTTTTTATTATAAATATCTAGAATTGTCCCTTGAACTTTGAGGCTGTAGAAATAGTCATTTTGCAAATTAAAAGCAGTGGGATTCTTTATAAAAATTTTTGTTTAAGGGCCTAAATATCTGGCTGTAGCATAGATTTAGGATAACATAATCTATGCTAAATGTTTTGCCAAAGAAGCAATTTTTAGAATTTTAATTTTTAGGAATTCATGGGAAATTTGATTTTTAGTAATTATCTTTTGTAATTATCTTGTACTAATAAGCTTCAAGTTAGGTGAAAGTTGGTTACCAGTCACCACAGCTACCAATTATATTTTAAATCACTTAAATAATCCATGGTGGGGTTTTTTTTCCTTCTCAGTTTGCATATCACAAAATCTTGACATTACTCTTGAATGACTACATTGTGGAGAATTAATAAGAAGGCATTTTATTTTAGTATTAATTAAAGCCCGTGCCTATTATGTGTCTTTATGTGTCTATATCACATCTTGTTCCTAAAAGTTGAGACACTAGCTTCAGAATCATACCAGATTGTCCATAGGCTAATTCCTAAGAGATTTTAAAAGGATCACTTTGCAAACAAATGTTGACTTTTACTGAAATATGAATGGTATTACTCTAAAAGTAGGAAGATTAGTAATAAATAAAGCACTTTACAGTAGTACTGTTTCACACTTATAAGTATATAGTATTTTTCAAGGTATTTTTGCATGAAACTGATTGACTCTTAGGTATGGAAGTCAGGCAATAGATAATTAAAACACGAGAAAACAGAAGTGACTTGCCCAAGGTCATGTAGCTGGATAGTGATAGAAAAGTAGGCTTTAGCTGATAGGCCTGTATGTTTATAGACTACCATACTGTAAATGTGAGCTTTAAGTTATTGTTCTCACATAGTTTATACATTTCTTCTCTTCTTTCTCCTAATTTTCATGCAGATGAATATAAGATAATGCTGTTAACATAATACATTTGTGAAATACAGAAAAATGATTGGCGAGAGTTGGTGGAAATTTGTAATTAAAACAATTATTAAAATTACATTTCGTGTTGCCACTCTGTCATATGAGATGGGATGTAGAATACTTTTAATGTTTAAAAATAGAGTGAAGCAAAAACCCAAATAACTTTTAAAACTTTCTTTTTGAGTAGATCTTGACTTCTAAGAATAGCAGAACTGTTCACCTTATCACAGGCATTCCCATCAGTTATGTGAAACAGGAAGATTACATCTATTATGGCAATTCATTTTAAAGGAAAGGAAAATAAGGTATAGGAGGACCTCACTCTTAGGAAATATAGCATACAGAACATTTTTATCTTTACAAAACAGTTAAAAACTACAAAAATATTCTTACAAAGGTATCACCTACAGAATATATTAAATAATAGATTTCTGTAGTGAACAAAGATTGATTTTCTTATTTTTAATGACTTTACTGTCTTCTTCAGAAAGCTTTTTTTGCCCAAAGTAAATTTTACTTGTGTTAAATTACCACCTAATGGGAGAGAGAGAGAGCTGGACTTAAAATGTGAAATTCTAATGTAGTTGCATTGGAGTACTTCCTGGGCACCAGAGTTTTAAGAAAGAGGATAATCTGAAGTAGATAGGTATAGAAACCTTACCTTAGGTGCTCTTGCAATTAAGGAATTATATAACCTAGTGAAAAGAATAATTGTCATGTGGAAAAATAAGATGCTTTTCCTACTCTGGAGAACCAGTTACAATCAGAGTGATAGGATGATGGTTATTCTTTCGTCATAAAGAAGGCTCCCAGTGAATGATGCTTTTCAACAGTAGAAAAGGCCTTCATGAAGGATAGTGGAGAATAGTAGCACATTCTCTATCACTGTTTTTAGGGAGAGATTGTATCATCAGGATGTTTTAGAAGAGATTTCTTCATTGGTATAGAAGTTGGACTAAGTGATTTCTACGTTCCTATATTTAGATTCTCTTCTAGGCAGTTCTGATCTACAGCTCATGCACTGACTCTATTCACTATTTCTGCATAGTTTCTAAATAGACTTTGCTTGGACCACAAGTGTGTCCTGCAGTGAATGATCTGGTATAGCTATGTCATTTTTCTAGTTCAGGAATGCACCTAATCCTGAAGGAAAGCAGAAACATGGCTGTTTATTATAGAGGGAAAGGTGGCTTAAACCCAGGATCCCAGATCCTTGGCCAACTGCATTCTGCTTCCATAGGTTTTCAAAAACCACCTGCAGAAGTGACACTCAGGGAAGAATTACTGTATTTATAACTCTAAGTCTTTTTTTGCCTCTGAATCCCCACGTGAAAGTCCTGTTGCTTGTGAGCTGGACTGAAATTTGTGAAGTTGCAGGGAATCCTTTTGCTCTTCTGTATTAGCCCAACAGGCTTGATGAAATGCAGTCTGTACCCTTGATTCCTTCTTTACCCGTGCCCTCATTTTCCCCATCAACTTCTACCATTCCAGTGGGCAGAAGAGGTAGAGAAAGTCTAACTCAACAGAAAGAGAGTGATTTTCTCTCCCTAAAACCTAGAGCAGAATTTCTGAAATTTCTCTTTAAAGGAAAAAAATTTTCACAAATCTCAGCATGGACCTTTTCCCTACTTTACTGTTATGTAAATATATACAAATATAATATGAAGTATAGACTTCTTTGATTATACCTTTTATACAAAAAACAAAATAAATTTATAAATTAAAATACAAAGCTGTAAAAACTAAATTTTAAATTCAAACACGAATTTAATGGGAAATTGATGTTTTGCTCAGATAGAATCACAAGAGACCTCAGTAGCCCTGCAGCACTTCTGCCCTCATGTGCTGTTTTAGTTCAAGTACCACCATATGCCTGCCAAGATAGCTAAAACTTGCTGATATGCTAGTAATGCATTTAATCCTGCTGGGGATTTATCAACCCATGTTCCTATAATCCCATATGGATGTGGCATGGATCAAACTGCTAATTTCCATTAGCATTAATTTCCATTAGCATTGGAAAGATTTTTAAAATACCAGCTTTATGTGTTCCCTAAAGTTTTGAAATAACAGTAAAACTACCTACGCTTGGCATGTTTAGGGTGCCTTTTAGTCGTCCCCTCACAACATTTTCTGTCTTTGTTTTCTTGGTTCATTCTTGATCATTTATATTTTGCTTAAAAATCAGCCATGCCTCCAGATTTTCAAATTATTTGCATAGGAATTTATGAATCATTCTGATAATTTGAATTTCTTCTGTTGCTGTCGTTCTGTAGTTCTATTTTCTTTCCCGTTAATTTTATATCTGAATGGTTTTTCCTTTTTTTTTTTTTTTTTGTTTTTTTTGTTTTTGAGACTGTCTCACTCTTGTTGCCCCAGCTAGAGTGCAGTGGCATCATCATCTCACTGCAACCTGAAACTCCTGGGCTCGAATGATGCTTCTGCCCCAGCCTCCTGAGTAGCTAGGACTACAAGCATGCGCCACTATGTCCCACTAATTTTTCTATTTTTTTGTAGAGATAGGGTCTTGCTTTTGCTCAAGCTACTTTCGAACTCCTGAGCTCAAGTGATCTTCCCACCTCGGCCTCCCAGAGTGCTAGGATTACAGGTGTGAGCCACCATGACCCACTACTGTTTTTCTGTATTTTTATTCCCCATTTTTTATGGTAAAATGCATATAGGATAAAATTTCCTATCTTAACCATTTGTAAGTGGTACAATTCAGTGGTTATTAAGCACATTAGCATTGTTGTGCAACTATCACCACCATCCATCTCCAGAACTCTTCATCTTACAAAACAAACTCTGTACCCATTAAACAGTAACTCCCCAATCCTCCCTCTCCCCCGCCTGTGGCAACCACCATTTTACTTCCTGTCTCTATGATTTTTACTATTCTAAGTACCTGATATAAATGGAATCATACAGTATTTGTCTTTTTGTGATTGGCTTATTTCACTGTCTTCAAGGTTCATCTGTGTTGTAATGTAGAAATTTTTTTAATTTTCACTAATTCCAAACTATTTTTTTCTTTTGTTTCCTGTGCCTTGGTGTCATATCCAAGAAATCATTGCCAAATCTAATGTCATTAAAATTTTGCCTTATATTTTCTTTTGAGTTTTATAGTTTTAGATCTTACCTTTAGGTCTTGGATGTATTTTCAAATGAATTTTTGTGCATGGTGTTAGGTAAGGGTCCAACTTCATTCTTTTCCATGTGGATGTCCAGTTTTCTCAGCACCATTTGTTGAAAAGACTGTTAGTAACCCATTGAATGGTCTTGACACCCTTGTCAAAAATCATTTGACTATGTAAGTCAGGGTTTATTTCTAGACTTTTGATTCTATTCCCTTAGTCTAAATGTCTATCTTTATGTAAGTACTGCACTATTTTGATTATGGTCACTTTGTAGTAAACTTTGAAATCTAGAAGTATTAAGTCCTCAGCTTTGTTCTTTGTCAGAATTGTTTTGGCTATTCAGAGTCCCTTGAGATTCCATGTGAATGTTAGGATGGATTTTTCTAATTTTGTAAAAAACATCGTTGAGACTTTGATAGGGATTACATGAAATCTGTAGATCATTTGGGTAGCATTGACCTCTTAATAAGGTTAAGTATTCTAATTCATGTACATGGGATATCTTTCCATTTATTTATATCTTTAATTTCTTTCAGAAATGTTTTATAGTTTTCATTGTACAAGAATGAAAGAGTTTTACCTCAGTTAATTCTTAAGTATTTTATTCTTTTTGCTGTTTTGTAAATTAAAAATTGTTTTCTTTGTTTTTTGGATTGTTCATTGTTAATAGAATGTATTGAAATGCAACTGAATTTTGTGTGTTGACTTTGTATCCTACTACTTTGCTGAAGTAATTTATTAGTTCTAATGGGTTTTGTGTAATCTTTAGTGTTTTCTAAATATAAGATCATATCATCTGCAAACAGAGGTAATTTTACTTCTTTCTTTTCAATTTGGATGCTTTTTTTTTCTTTTTCTTGACTGATTGCTCTAGCTAGGACTTCCATTACTGTTTTGAATTGAAATGGCGAAAGTGGGCATCCTTGCCTTCTTCTTGATCTCAGAGAAAAAGCTTTCAGTCTTTCACCATTGAATATGAAGTTTTTCTGTGGGTTTTTCATATATGGATTTTATCATATTGAGGTAGTTTTTGTCTACCTTTTTGAGTGTTTTTATCATGAAAGGGTGGTAAATGCTTTTTCTGTATGAATTGAGATGATCATGTGATTCTATAAATGTGACATATTGCATTGATTGATCAATTTTTGTATAGTGAATGATCCCTTGTATTCCAGTAACACATCCCACTTGGACAAAGAGTATAATCTTTTAATATGCTACTGAACTCAGTTTGCTAGTATTTTGTTAACGACTTTGTGTGTGTGTTTGCAATTACTCTAATAGAAGTAAATGTTTGGGGGCATAGGCATGGTATGTCTTCTAAGATTCTATTTTGTTCTAGCAGGATCTCTAATTTATACCAGT